AGTTATATGTTATTAAAAAGAATGCACAAGATATAACAAATACTGCCGAGAAGTTGTGCACTTGAAGGCAAAAGAACATGCACTTGAAGGCAAAAAACTGTGCACTTGGAAGGCAAAAAATATGCACCGAAGGAAAAAAGGGTTCACTTGAATGCTAAGTTTTTTTTTTTTTTAAAAATTTTTACACAATAGTAAGACACACATACACTTGTAGGCATTAAATTGAGAACTTGAAAGCATAAAGAGGATACTAGAAGGCAAGGGAGAGAGAGAGAGAGAAAAAAAAAAAAAAAAAGACACGAAAAGGGAAAATTCGAAGGAAATTAATTATGCACTCTTAGAAAAGAAAACATGCACTTGAAGACTACAAAACGTGTACTTGAAGGCCAAAAAATTTGCACTCAAAGGCACATAGATGTACACTCAAAGGAGAAACTAAGTACTGAAATAAAAGTAATGCACTTGAAGAAGGAAAAATGCGCACTCGAAGAAGGACAAATGTGCACTCGGATACAAAACACAAAGTGACTTATTTACTCAAAATTACAAATATGCCACTACGCGTTTTTTAATTAAAATTCAATTTGGGATGTTGATTTGGATTGCATCTACGGCTGGAAACTATCCGCATTTTTTACCTGTTGAGACTTTTTTAATTGATCCGCAATATATATATATATATATATATATATATATATATATATATATATATATATATATATATATATATATATATATATATATATATATATATATATATATATATATATATACACTAGTTTTTCACGCGCATTGCACGATTGGGATAATGCCCAATGCTTTTTTTTAAATAAGTACTTTAAAGTATATTAAGACAGGATTATATTGAAATTGTTCATGCATAGATAATTGAAGGTTAAATTTGCGTATTTAAATAGGTAATTCTTCTCCCAAAGGTTGAGTCCCCAACCCCAAGGGCCCCCCACACTCCGACCCGACAGAGCATTGTGGGAAGTTGTAAATCACGGTGACTCAATGGTTCAGCAGACAGGGCCAAATGCTGATACGCACAAGGAATCTGCCCACTTTGGACATAATTCCCGCACTGCCGCCGCCGAGGTTCAAACCTTCGTTTCTTCTCCCAAATACTACCCACTAAACCATTGAGCTAAGCTCGTGTGGGTTAAATAGGTAATTCTAAGTTTACAAATGCAAGATAATATAGTCGAGATTGATTATAATTGTCAATAAAATAATTGTATAGGTATGGTTGAAACCAAATACGGGACATAAGGGAGAACAAATAAAAATTAGGACATAGAATATTAAATATATACTAATATTGTTTGAGGAGATTCCGACATTAGGATTTGTGGTTAAGTTCTATTAAGACTTTAATATTAGAATTAGATCAATGGTGTAGTTATAATTCTATATTAGACTTTAATATTAGAATTAGACTAACGGTGAATTAACGGAAAAGTTAAATGGACAATCATATAATTAAGGATAAATTAGAAAATCTTAAAAGAAAAAATTAAAACCTAAACAATATGAACCATTCATTTGATTTAATAATTTGGCGATCATTTTTTCTACCCAATGTTAATAATTAAATAAATTCGCTGGTCAAATCCGCTAGTATAATCCGCTAACGCTAACCGCTAACTGCTGATTGTCAAACAAGGACATTGCGAGGTAGTTCTCACTTCAATTTGTTGTGTGATTTGAATACTCTCGTTGTCACAAAATCTCTCAAGTAGTTAATATGGTTGGTTTTATTAATTATATTTTTTTAATTTTTTAATGGTATTAATAAAATACTTGGTAAATAAATATATAGCATTATTTTGTATTATAACTTTGATATTTAATTAGAAAAATAGTGCACAAAAAAGATAATAGATAATGTAGTGAATATAATCAATTGATGAATTTGAATGTAAAAATTTTTACATTTGAGAAAAATAAAGACAATATAACTAATGAAAATATTTCTTTTAATTAATTTATTGATAATTAATAATTTTTTTTTTCACTGAATAAAGACATTGTAAGGATAATCTATGCGAATATAATCAATTAATAAATTTGAATATAAAGAATTTTTATATTGAAGAAAAATAAAGACAATATAACTAATAAAATTATTTCTCTTTTTTTTTTTTTTGAAAAGAGCCTGCGCGGCATTTATTGGAAATATGCTGAAATAGAGTCTGGCGGACCATTGTCCGAGTACATAGGTGCTGAATAATGAATAATTTCTCTTATTTAATTGATTGATAATGAATAATTTTTTTTTTTGAATAAAGGCATTGTGGACACATAATTCTAAATTAAAGAAATGCATATGTATTATTTTTTGTTGTAACTACTAAATTATTATTTATATAATTTAATAAGAGTAAAATAGAGTACTAATTATGCCAACTTTGATTGGGATGAGGTTCCAACCTAAGACATTTTTTTATTGAAATCAATGAGTAAGTTAACGGTGAACTAACGGCAATTCTTAAAATTTTAACGGAATTAGTAATGGTGTGTGGGTATTTTAGAAAATTTTAGTGTAAAATTTAAATATGATCAGTCTTTTAATTAATCTGAGCCATTCATTTGATTAAAATCTGTGACCGCCATTTTTCTACCCATTATAGGCCTAACTCTCTTGGGCTCTTATTAGTATAGCATATATATATATATATATATATATATATATATATATATATATATATATATATATATAAAGTAAAAAATTTGCAATGCGTGACCAATATTTGTTCACTAATTTCTCCTTTACAAAAAGAATAAAGAGTATGTTAAAAAGTAGTGCGATACTGCAATATGCAAATTCAAAGAACAAAGAAACCTAAAAAGAAAGAAATAATAAAGAAAAAAAAAACCTTTAATGTGGTCCATATGGTATCATCTGATTGGTTGTTATAAAAAAAAAATATGTACTTCTTCAACAAAAAATAGTTTTCCCTTTCTATCATTTTATATGTTATATATATTATTTATCCATCATATCAATTCTTTAAAATAATTTTTTAAAAAAACTGTTTAAAAAGTTTCTTATAATTTTAAAATCATTTTTTATTAAAATAACTTTTATGGTCAGTTTAAAACTTGAAAAGTATTTTTCAAAAAAATAATTTCTTGAAAATTACTAATTTTTCGAAAAATTTTTAGTATTCATTTACTAACGGGAGAATTTCTTGCGTTTTCTTGAAAATTAAAAAATTGAGAAATAAAAAACATAAAACATGTTTATTAGCTTAGTTAATCATTTTGAAAACTGGACACATTTTTCAATTTTTTTAAAAAATGAAAACTTTTTACAAATTTTCTAAATGAAAAAACATAATCTCCAAAATCTATCTATTTGTATATATATCACTATAATCAAATTCTCAGCATTATCTACTTACATATAACTACATTACTATGATTACATTCATTATCATCTTATTTTACTTATTACTATCTTCTATCTTTTTTACTTACTTTACTTATTTAAACATAACTTATTTGCTTACACTTTAAAGTTAGACATTATTTACATTATCAAAATTAAGAATTAAGATATATATAATGTTTTAGATTTTGATTGAACTTAATGAATTATTATTTCGAATATTTTTAATTATGTTACATCGTAATACAAGTTCGATTCAAATATCTGATATTGAAATCTCACATATATTAGAATTCAAAGTAAAAGTTATATATTCATATACATGTCATTCAAATGAATATATCCAAATCATATTTTAAATATTAGCTAAAAAATATTAATATTATCTAAAATAAATTTTAGGTGAACTTGGTAGGTTATTGGTTCGGATATATTTTTTTAGTTATTATGTTATATACACATATAAATTTTGTTCAGTTATCAAATGTAAAAATCTTACATATATTAGACTTAAAAGTAAAATAATAATAATAATAATAATAATAATAATTTATTCCATTTAAACCAAACATATCTAAAGATCCGGTGAAGAAATGGGGAGAAAAAATTATACATGCAAAAAGACTAAAATATCCTCAATTTTTAACCATTAATATTTTCTGACGAAATTTGGCCGGCAATTTGACCGGAGTGACCAAAATTGACAAAAATTTCATAGTCAAGGTACTAAATTGACACTTTTAAAAGTCAGATGCTGAAATTAACAAAGCCCCTATAGTCATGTGACCAAAATTGAAATTTCCACTTGAGTAAAATCATCAAAGTCGAGAACTTAATTAATTAAAAAAAAAAGTGATTTATGATGAAACCGGAAAAAATCACATAGTCTAGAACTAAATTATGTAGGCTCTGTTTGGCAACGCTAAGCTAGGAGCTTATAGCTTATTTTAAGCTACTAATAAGCTATAAACTCTGTTTGGTAATGTTCCCAAAATAAGCTCCTAGCTTAAAATAAGAGCTTATTTTGGAATGCTTCCTTAGATAGCATTCAAAATAAGCTCTTAGTTTCATAATTTTTTTTCATCTTTATCTTTATTATTTTAAAGAAATGACATAATTTATCATTCCCAATTAAAATCATTTTTCCCTTCTCCTTTATCCAGAATTTTCACTTCAATTATTATTATTATTATTATTATTATTATTATTATTATTATTATTATTAGATTTGTAATAATATTGCTACTTCATTATGGCATGCTATATCATGATTATGCTAATAGTTTAATACTTTTATTTTAAAATGTTAATTTTTTTAAAAACAAAATGTTAAATTTTAATATGTAAACAAACTAATTTAAATTTTATGAAGATGTCATTTTTAATCTTTTTACATTTATGAGCTTATCAAAAAATTAATTTTACCAAAACTTTCAATCATAACAGTTAGCTTAACAGCTCCGAGCTTATAGCTTTTTAACTTTTAGTTCATTTTCACCTTTCAACCCCTAGTTTATAGCTTTTGAAGTAGATTTGCCAAATAGAGCTGTATTAACTCGAAAAGTTTGTAATGGAGAGAGAATAGCAATTAAGATATTTGATTACAACGTCATTCAGTCACTTTACCTTTTAAGAGCAAGTGAAGGCATCTTGAATCTCATATTCTCATGTATATTCATCACAATTATACATGCTCATATTTCTGAAACCCGAAGCCACAAAAAAACATACTTCTGTATTGAGTTCTCTTCATTTCCCTGACCATCCGTGCGTATGTGGCCTTCGTTGACAACAATCCTTACAAAAGAGAAGGATTGAAACACTGGGTAGTTTTCTGTTGGAGTCGCAGAGTAAAAGAATTATTAAAAAAAAAAAAAAGAAGAGACTTTCAAGGGTGACAATATGAGGATGGTCAGTGCCATTGATTGTTCAGAGTGCCCAAGTATCTGTAGTTTCTTGGTTGTTGAAGCTTATCCTAAGAGGTACTCTTCCAAGATCCCATCTGATTTGATCCTATTCCTGGGCCTTGGCTTCATAGATTGGTAAAATTTACTATCTTTATGTTTCTGATTCCTAGAGGATTTGCCAGATAAGGACTGTGTATTTGATGGGTTTGATTCAGTGTCGTCTTCCACCTTTCTTTTAAGAGTTTAAGGAGACTCCTGGGTTAACCTTTCATAAGTTCTTAATTTAGGGGCTAACTTTATGTCTGTATTTTGTTGTCTTTTTTTTTTTTTTTCTTGATTCCTCTGTGTAGTAGTTTCATTTTATGAAAATCTTATTCCCCTTGCTTTGATAAAACTAGGGATTTATAAATCTAGCCATATGGGGTTTCCTCTAGAATCCAGATAAAGTCATATGTTGTCTTCTGATGATCTGGGATTTTAGGACTTTGTAGTTTTGATGATTTTCAATTTGGGTATTGTGGGAATAGTTTTGCAATGAATAAGTTCAGGGCTTTGATGGAGGTGGGATGTTGTAGCTGGGACTAGTTTGGGTACATAAAGATTAGCCTTTTATCAGAATAGTCTTCAATTCTGGGTATTATTTGAAGATGGGGGATATCCTTCTAACAGCTCTTTCAATAGAGAATCATCACCCTTCAACCCTCTTATCCATGGATTCCAGTGCCCCCTCTTCACATGATGATTTGGATCTTGAGACGATGAATCGCCAAGATCCAATAATTGGTCCCCCGGACATCAATTTACCCTTATCGACTGAGCTTAGCCCCTTTCCTCAGCCATGGAACTCTGAACACTTTGATGTTCTTGATGTTGGGCTCGGGACCCAGATATATGAAACCGAAAGTCCTCAAAATGCACCCAAGATTGGTAGGAAATTTGCAAAAAGAACAGATAGCGTCTGGGCTGCCTGGTTTTTCTTTAGCTTTTATTTTAAGCCCGTGTTCAATGAGAAATCAAAGGCGAAAGTTGTTTGTGACAGCAATGGGGTTAGTGGGTTTGATAGATCGGACCTCGAGCTCGATACTTTCATGGTTCAGCACGATATGGAGAATATGTACATGTGGGTTTTCAAGGAAAGGCCCGAGAGTGCACTGGGTAAGATGCAACTCAGGAGCTATATGAACGGGCATTCTCGACAGGGGGAACGCCCCTTCCCTTTCAGTGTTGACAGAGGTTTTGTTCGGTCTCATAGGATGCAAAGGAAACAGTATAGAGGCCTTTCGAATCCTCAATGTGTTCATGGGATCGAGGTTGTTCCCTCGCCCAATCTCTCGGTTTTAGATGAAGGCAAGCTAAGGAGATGGGTGGAACTTACTGGAAGGGAGGCGAATTTCACCATCCCACCCGAAGCAAGTGATTACAGTTCATGGAGAAACCTTCCCAACACAGAATTCGAGCTCGAGAGGCCCAAGAATAACCACCATTCCCACTCTAAGAAACTATTTAAGTTGTCAACTAGGCCACCCAACCATACTAATGGGGATATAATGGATCTCTCACCGGTCAGCAACAAAAGGAAGGACTTTTTCTCACATGGAAATGAAGAAGAGGATCGCCTTCCTAATCGGATTCCAAATTTGGAAGTGAATCCGAACGAGCCACACTGGTTGAACGAATTTCGAGGGGTCATGAGGAACGTTTATGGGCCCGTGACAGCTGCTAAAACCATCTACGAAGACGAAGAAGGCTATTTGATCATAGTCAGCTTGCCATTCGTGAATCTGCAGAGGGTCAAAGTTTCGTGGCGGAACACACTCAAACATGGGGTAATCAAGGTTTCTTGCTCGAGCACATCTCGCACCTCATTCATTAAGAGGCACAAAAGGACTTTCAAACTTTTAGATTCATCATCTGAGCACTGCCCTCCGGGGGAGTTTGTCCGAGAAATCCCTCTTTCAACCCGGATTCCCGAAGACGCTAATATAGAGGCCTACCTCGATGGATCCGGGACAGTTCTCGAGATATTGGTGCCTAAACTTCAAGAGGGACCGGAAGAACACGAAGTGCACATCCGCCTTTGTCCTCAACTCGGTGCTAGTGATCTTATGTTGACCTAGAGGCATTAACTCTGTATGGTGTAATATTATGCATGAACTTTAAATAAGGACATATTTGTTGTGTTATATGTCATTCCTATAAGAAATTAAGAATGAACTTGGTTTCAAAATTGTACGGTTATGCCTGTGATGGAATTGAAGCAGGTGTACTGTTCCATCTCAACTAAAAGTCTAAGCTGATAGTTGGATTGCACATTTATGTTTACATATTCTACAGTTCATTGCTTCAAAGTGAGATTTTTGAAATCTTTAACCCTGACAAGATGTTCATTAGTACTACTTTAGCCGCGGCCTATGACTCGTCTATTTCAACTCATATCTGGGAATCTTTCCCATTCCCCTCCACTTTGATTTGGATAGCTCACAATCAATCAACAGTTGAAGCCAAAGAGATTTTTTAAAAAAAATAAAAAATGCAGTGACTTTGCACCCAGAAAAATACAGTGTTCTTGATGTGTTTTATGCATTTAGCTTATTAAAATGCATTATTGGAGACTAGAGTGCATAAATTTGTCTGGATTCTCAGGTGGGCAATTCAATTACCACTTCTCTTCTAAGCACTTTCCCTTCACATGATTCTGATAGAGGAAAAAAAAAAAAAGATATTCCTAAAGGGTAGATTGTTCCTGTTGGTGGTTGTTCCATTGATGAAAAAGATAGATTCAGAAGATTGTGCCAAACGTGATAAATAATGGAAGGTATGGGTTGTTGGGTTATAGTGAAAGCCGGCAGGTGGATGGGTAAATAATGAGTTTGCTGATAGGCTTACATCCAAATAAGAAACACTTCTTAGGTGAGAATTGCGAATTTGTACATGAATGCACATTGCACACACACTCTAATATATCAGACACAATCTACTATGAAGTAGTTTGTGTGCGTCCATGTAGTAGATTGTATGCATTCATGTGGCTCTCACGTTCTTATCTAAGGGTTAGTTCTCATTTAATCATTATTCATTTGTGAAAAATATTAAGAATTCTTTTAAAATATAGATACAAATTTACTAATTTATCCATTTAGGACGATAGTTTATCTTCTTGTGGTTTTTTGCTGACTAAGATCACAAAACGGAATTTATTCAGTACACAATTTCGAATAATAACGGCAGGTTTCCTTATCATTCCAAAAATATCCTTCAATTCTTGTAAAGGGTGTGAGTTTTTTGACAACACTCCTTTGATATACTTTAACTAAAAGTTTTGAAAAAAATAAAATAAAATAAAATAAAATGGACCGCACCCTAACATTATTTTTCAGTCTTTACATTATGAACGCATAAGTTGCGTTAAAAGATTGACATATTACTTACCCTATAAAGCTTGGGGGACCACATAGAAATGACCGGAGGACATTAAGTTCATTGTCTTATTTAGTTTCTAGTGTGATCAACTGCTAAAACGTAATTGACCTGTATCATAAAATAGTTAGTTTATTAGTTAATTTTAATTTATTTGATCATTATTATTTGTTTAACTTGATTAATATAAATATTTGTTTAATTAATTTTTTGTAATTTTAAAATGCTAAAATTTAAAAAGTTGCTCAAAACAATTTTTTCAATTAGCTCTTGAGAAAAAAAAAATTATATGAAACAGCTATCAGCTAATTTACCAAATACCTTTCACAATCAGCTAATGTTATCAATTAGTTATGGCCCTATTTGGTAAAATGGCTGATAGCTGTTAGTTGTTAGCTGATTGTGTTAATTAGAGGGTATAAATAGTTGATAACATTAACTGATTGTAGAAAAGTGTTTGGTAAATTAGCTGTTAGCTGATAGCTGTTTAGTATAATTTCTTTTTCAAAAAGCTAATTGAAAAAGTTGCTTGGAGTAGCTTTTTGAATTTTAGCCTTTTAGAATTACAAAAAGCTAATTAACCAAACATTTATATTGATATTTTAACTAAATCAAACAATTAATAGTGGTCATTTACCAAATAGGACATTATGTTTTTATAACCCTAATTTCCGACTTTACTAAACTATATCCTGAATTCCATGAATCCGCCTGAGGCAAGTTGTCCAATTAATTCCAGGTTCCTTACCGCTTGTACACTTCTGTACACAAGAAGTCTTGACCCGCACTACTGATTTGTCAAAACCCTCCAATGACTCCTCAAGTTCTTAGTTGGGTTCAAACCCCATGCCCTATCGCTGGAAGCAAGATATCCTAATTCAATGACGCCATGTCTTTTGAGAAAACCGAACCTCTACCATGCAGTTGGAGCAAGACTTTCAAGCTGACCCTTGAACCATTAAGCTAAGCCCAGGGCCGACCCTGGAGCAAGGGCAGGCTGGGCCCCTGCCCAGGGCCCATCTCTAGAGGGGGGCCCATAGACCCTATGATATATTAATATATTATATATTATTATATATATAATATATATTATTTAGGATACATTAAAAAAATTATTTAATTACTATTGACTGGATGACTTCTGATCGAAGTCGAAAAGACGTAAGATTTGGGAAGAATCGAAGAAAAGAGAAGTCGCACTCATTCATTCAATTCTTCTCCGGTCGCATCTACGGTACAGCAACCGATGGAGTTATTAGAAGCTCAGAAGTTAATGTACTTTCATAATCCACAAATAACAAATCTTCTCTACAAATCTACATATTCTACCAATATCATCAATACTCATCGACAATCGCCGGTCACTCCAGTCGGTCCTATTCGTCGGGAATTGCCGCGCCTTCACCACTCCGGTCTACAATTGTAATTTGCAAAGCCAAAGGTATTTTATGATTTGAGATTTTTTTTAGTTCTGAAAACTATGATTTAGGAATTAGGCCGTATTGTTAACTGTATTGTTGAAAAGTCTATGATTTGGAAATTGGGATTTGGAATTTGAATAATTGTAGAATGTTAGCATGTATAATGTATTGTCTGTATTATTGTAATAGGAATTTAGGAATTTGTAGAATTGAAAAGGGAAAACTACCAGTTATTAAGTTTTCAGAATTGGAAATATTGCAGAAGAATTTGCTTATTTGCAGAATTGAGATTTGAAAAATTGAAAACTACAAGTTATTACTTATTAGGATTCGAATTCATAATTTTTTACTTACAATGTAATTGTAATTAGTAAGTTTAACTATTTAAGCCAAACTATATCTATTTCTTAATCATTCTCAAAGTAAAATGGTGTCTATTAGAATGTCATATGCAAAATTAATTGTGGATTGCTCCTGTTGATGTTCAAAAATTATTGGTATTTACTCAGAATTAATTGGTCATTGGCCTATATGTTATAATTTCATTTATTTATGCAGGATTGAAGGCACACGTTTACGTGTTGCCCGCTGGTAGAAATAAAGATTTTTGATTGATTGATTCATAAGTGCCAGGTGCTTTTGTTCCTTTTCTTTTTATTTTTATTATTATTTTTTTTGGGTTAAGACCAATTTTAATTATAATAAGGGAAAATTGTAAAAAATACCCCTCTATAATTTGTCAATTATCAATGTCACCCCTGAATTATGAGTGGTGTAAATGTTGCCCCTCAATTATCAAAATGGTGCACATATAGCCCCTCCCGTAACGGACATGTGGTTCCCCGTTAGTGTACGACACCGTTAAGTCGGAGTAAATATGTAATTTAGTTGTTTTTTCCCTCCCTCGATTCGATGTACCAGTAATGGACAGCGGTGGGGAACCACAGGTCCGTTACGGGAGGGGCTATATGTGCACCATTTTGATAATTGAGGGGCAATATTTACACCACTTATAATTCAGGGGTGACATTGATAATTGGCATATTATAGAGGGGCATTTTTTACATTTTTCCCTTATAATAATTCTTTTTATATAATGTTGCCTAATAAACATTTATTTGGAAGTGAAAAGAGAAAAAAAAAAAAAAAAAAAAAAAAAAAAAAAAAAAAAAAAAAAAGAAGGATACCAATGACTGTAGCTAGGGATGGCAATTTCAATCCGACCCGTGGATATCCACCCGAATCCACCCCGCATGGATCGGGTTTTTTTGGGTGATGGTGGGTGGTGGGTCGGGGGTGGGTCTTAAAAAAGCAAACCCGCGGTGGGTCGGGTTGGATTCGGGTTCTATGTACAAGACCCGCCTAGAACCCCACCCGACCCACCATATGTGTGTGTATATATATATATATATAATAGTAAAATAAGTACTAGTATGTAGTTATTTATAAAAGTTTATATAACTTCGTGTATCTTTTTACTATTTTTTATATCAAAACTACTAATTTTATTTAAAAAATTAACAATTTAGTTATTATATTTAAATATTTCAATTATTTATGTTTTAGTATCACTAATGGATTTTATTTTTTTATTATGTGTAAATAATTTAAATATTATTTTTTAAAAAACATAATAAGATGATAAGTGGTGGGTACCCGTAGTAGGCACCCGCACCCGGTGGGGGTGGGGGTGGGTTCTGAAAAAGTCCACCCGATGCGGGTTGGAGGTGGGGGTGGGTGGGGAAAATATAAGGTGGGTCGGGTGATGGATGTAGCCCTCCCCGACCCACACCCGACCCATTGCCATCCCTAACTGTAGCATCAACGGAGAGAAGTTTTTCAAAATTGAAATTATTGAAAACTTACTTAAGATCTTCAATGTCACAAGAAAGATTGAATGGTTTAGCGATTTTGTATATTGAGAAGGATATGCTAGAGAATATTAATCTTGATGCAATTATTGATGATTTTGCATCGAGTAAAGCACGTAGAAATTTTTTGTCATGAATATTTTTGTATTTAAAAAATTATTGAATTTTTCTAATCTTATTTCATGTTATTTGATATTATCATTTTTTTATTACTATTAAATTTAAATTTTAGTTTTTCATATAGGGGTCATTTTTTTTAAGTTCCGTCCCGAACCTATAAAATGTTTGGACCGGCCCTGGCTAAGCCCCACGCGGAGCTTGAGCTTATTATTGTTGGGTGGTTGTGAGTTGTGTACTGCATCAATTGTTTTGCTGTTTACAGTGTAGATGTTGTGGACGTCAATGGAGGAGGTCTGCTGCAGATTCACAAATCTTTGGTTGTTTTGAGGATAAGGATCAATTTCGTTCATAATTTTTTTTTTTTCCAAACAATACAAACCATTAATAAAAAATTAAAAAAAATTAACTCTAAATAGGCAGTTTTAGAAAGAAGTGCAATTGATTCATTTTTATTCATAATTCTTCATCATTATTTACCTAGACTAGACATCAACTTATATTTAATTTCAACTAGTGTTTCTCTTGTACAATGGACTAATGTATTTTATACTTAATACATTTTCATAAATAAATTTTAAAGAATAAGAAATCAAAATATATGCAATAAATAAAGGATTTTTTTTAATAGAGGGAGCATAAATGAAGTTTCAAATTTTTAATATGACCTTTTCAAATTTTCAATATGACCTTTCAAAAGCATAATGGCCTGAATTCCGATTATATTTCTTAACTATTCTAATTCATTTTGGAATATTATAAATATTCTTCTAAAATACATTACGTGAACCAAACATGTCATAAATGAAGTTGTGTAACTTGTAATATTTCATACATTGCAAATACATAATATAAAATGGGTACCTACGTAAAAATTTATAGCAAAAAAAAAATGGGTAAAATATCATCAATAATAATATTCTACATCATCAATTAAAAATAGAACGAAAATTGGGTAAAATATCACTACATCTGATATTCTAATCGTCTAATTGACTGAAAGTAAAAAAGAATAATTGGTTGAAAATGAATATGATATTACTAATTAATTGAAAATATAAAATTAAATGAATATTAATAGTTGACTACAAATAAAAAATGATCTATAATTAACTAATATGAAAAAAAAATGGTTAGATCATTGCATTTTAATTAAAAATTGATGGAAACTAAAATTGGACGGAAATTTTCAATAATAATATTCTATATCATAGATAATAAAGACATATCATTGCAACGGAAATATTTCAATAATAATATTATTGAAAATGCAATAAAGTTAAATTAAAAATGCAACGGAAATATTTCAATAATAATATTATACATAATCAATTAAAACTTGAACAAAAATTAGGTAAAAATATCATTGCATATGATATTCTAATTGACTAATTGATTAAAAAAATTGGCTGAAAATGAATATGATATTACTAACTGACTTAAAATATAAAAAAATAAAAAATAAAAAATAAAAAACTCTAATTGACTAATATTCTACCATTATATATTTTCACTCGAGTCACCCATCATGGTGGACTGGAGGTGTTAGCTATAGACGATGATGGACAAGATTGTGTTGCAATTACCAATGTCGAAAGAGGTTTCAATAATGTGTACATACAATCGTTGATATTTTTTTTAAATGACAAATTTGCTATATATCTAGACAAAAATATATATATCTTCCATACAAAAGAATTAAGATAGTAATTCATTCCTATAACTGAGTTGCTTGAGAATGAGCACATTTGCCGAATTTATAAAAAAAAATACTAAACAATGATAAATAAAATCTCCAAAATTACAGCACCGCATGCGTACATCTACACATTAGCTATAAATTTGAGCAATCATTTGCTCAAATTTAAGCATTGATAACATCAAAACACATAAATAATCCAAACCATATGTTCAATTGCACTATATAATATTTGATGTTCTAATTTAAATAATTATATATTGATCCAAATATTCTTAATATATTACAACAAATTCATTTCGTGCATCGAACGGGTGAAAATTATATTATTCTAATAATTTTTCTTTCATTCTTTCGTGCAATTACTATGCTAATGTATTTAAATATTGAAAGAGAATTCTATAAAAAGGATCCTTAATTCACTAAAATTCTATATTATTCTTAAAAACAAAACCCCCATTTCTTACTTTCCCGCACAAACTATAAAAAAAAAATACCAATTAATAATACTAATAATAATTAGTAAAAAAATTAGTAGTAGAATAGAAAAAAAGATCCTTAATTCACAAAAACTAGAAAAGGAAACGCAATTCACTAATTAATTAAAACTAACAATAATCAGTAAAAAAAGATCATTGATTCACTAAAAATGAAAATATAAATGGAATTTACTGATTATGACTAATAATAATTGGTAAAATAGGAAAATAAAAAATGAGTCTTAATTCAATGAAAATGGAAAAAAGAAACGGAAGGGTGTGAAAAAAAAAATAGGGTCATAATAAGGAAAACAGTAAAAAATGAAAATTCTACCAAAAATCTATATATATATATATATATATATATATATATATATATATATATATATATATATATAAAGTTTCTTAATTCACGAGAAATAGAAAAGGAAACGGAATTCACTGATTAATTAATAATAATAATAATAATAATCAGTAAGAAAATTAACAGTAAAATATGAAGAAAAAAAATCCTTACTTCACTAAAAATGAAAAAAAAAATGAAATTTACTGATTAATACTAATAATAATCAGTAAAATTGAAAATAAAAAAGGATTCTTAATTCAATGAAAATGAAAGTATTTTTTTTTTTTTTAAAAGGGTCATAATAAAAATAACAGTAAAAAAAATCCTACAAAAAAAATTGAAAAAAAAAACAGATTCATAATTTACGAAAAATAGAAAAGGAAATGGAATTCACTGAATAATTAATACTAATAATAATCAATAAAATTAAAAGTTAGCATTAAAAATAAAAATATATAAAAGGATCCTTAATTCACTAAAAATAGAAAAAGAATCGAAATTCACTGATTAATACTAATAATAATCAGTTAAATAGGAAAATATAAAAAGATTCTCAATCTATACCATTATTAAAAACAAAATCCTTCTTCCTTACTTTCACACCCAAATAATAGAAAAAGAAAAAAAAAATCTATAATATAATTAAAAACAAAATTCTATTTACAAAAAATATTCTATATTATCAATTAAAAATGGAATGAAAATTAGGTAAATTGAAAAAATAAATAAGTATCTATTCAAACATATTTTCTCAACCAATGCCTTCAATGAGGCTCAATCTCATGACTTCCCACATGAGAGAGATCATTACATGCCATATGAGCAGAAGGTGATTGGCAACAAACATTAGGTTAATTGAAAGAAATGAATACTAATAATTGTTTGAAAATAAGAGAAGATTCATAATTGACTAAAATAGAAAAAAAATGGTCAGATCATTGCAATTTAATTTTTCACAATAATATTACATAGTATAATACATCAAATCACAAGTATGTCATAAATTTTTCACAATTTTAAACAATAGAATGGAAATATTTCAATAATAATATTCTACACTATCAAGTAAAGGTAAATTAAAAATGAAAAGGAAATACTTCAATAATAATATTCTATATCATCAATACTAAAGACATTTTAAACAATAGTAAAGGTAAATTAAAAATGTAACGAAAATTAAAAATGAAATGGAAATATTTCAATATATATTCTAAATCAGCAATTAAAAATGAAACGAAAATTGGGTAAAAATATCATTGCATTTGATATTTTAGTTCGCTAATTGATTAATTGACTAAAAATAAAAAAAGAAATAATTGGATGAAAATGAATATAATATTACTAATGGATTGAAAATATAAAAGGAAATGAATATTAATAATTGACTGCAAATAAAAAATTATCCATAATTGACTAATATGAAAAAAAAATAAATGGTTAGATCATTGCATTTTAAGTAAAAATGGAAGGGAAACTAAAATTGAACGCCAATATTTCAATAATAATATTCTACATCATAAATAGTAAATGCATATTTTAAAAAATAGTAAAGGTAAATTACAAATGGAACAGAAATATTTCAATAATAATATTATACATCATCAATTAAAAATGGAACACAAATTAGGTAAAAATATCACTCCATATGATATTCTAATTGACTAAAAAAAAAAAGAATAATTGGCTGAAAATGAACATGATATTACTAATTTATTCAAAATATAAAAGGATCGCTAATTGACTAATATTATACCATTATATATTTTCACGGAGTCACCCATCCTGATCAATTGGAGGGGTTAGCTCTAGACGATGATGGACGAGATTGTGTTGCTACTACTAATGTCGTCTACAAAGAGGTTTCAACAATGTGTAAATAAAACCGTTGATATTATGTTTTTTAAATGACAAAATTGCTATATGTATAGACAAAAAAAAAAATATCCTCCATACAAATGAATTAAGATAACAATTCATTCATATAACTGAGTTGCTAGAGAACGAACATATTTGTCTAATTTATAAAAAAAAAAAATACTAAACAATGATAAATAAAATCTCCAAAGTTATAACACTACATGCATACATCTACACATTCGCTATTAATTTGAGCAATTATTTGCTTAAATTCGAATGATCCAACCCGTATATCCAATTGAACTATATAATATTTGATGTTCTAATTTAAATAATTATATATCAATCCAAATATTCTTAATATATTACAACAAATCTCTTCCGTGCATCGCACGGGCGCAAATACTAGTACATAATATAAAGCGGGTACCTACGTAAAAATTTATAGCAAAAAAAAAAAATTTAATAATAATAATAATAATAATAATAATAATAATTGGGATTTTTTTTAGTACATCCAAGAAGACCCAAAATAAGAATGACTATCTTTTAACCTTTTTTTTTTTTTTGAAAGCCAAGTATATTGGCATATTTTAATTAATGAGAGGAATCAAACAGTCAGGCGGGACATAGTCCCAATACATAGAGTGTTCCTGATCGAAAGCTAGCGTAGCTAAAGTATGAGCACTAACATTAACTAGTCTAGAGACAATATTTAAAGAGCAATACGTAAAAAGGGTCATAGTTGCCCGACATTGGTCCTCCACCACTCCTTCATAAGATAGAATGGTCGTAGGACTAGATAGTAAGTGATGTCGTAGTTGTGTGCAATCAGTCATCATATCCACATCAAATTCGTTCCGCTCCTTAAGCCAAGATAACGCTAACCTGCATGCGAGGGCCTCTGCCATAAGAGGTGACAAACAATTCGTGAGCCTTCCATTTTTTGCAGCCTTGAAAGAATCATCCGGGTGCATCAGCAAAACACCATACGCCGCCTCGCCCGTCTGCGGTCGGAAACCACCATCGAAGAAGCAGCGCGGCCGTCCCTGGAGTTCCAGCGCCGGTGGCTGCGTCACTTGCACACTGTTCGAGCAGTGAGCTTGGGTGTACGCCGATCTTGCTGCGGCTGCCCGCCTCCATGTAGTGAGAGGCGGCGGTAATGCCCTCTTCCATACAGCGTCGTTCCGGGCACTCCATAAATGATAAAGAACTCCCACGAGTGTTGTAAATTGCTCCTCCGTTAAGTTGACCATAGCACCCATTATCCACTCTGGAAAAGTAGCAGCAATAATATTTGTAATAGGCAATCCCGAAATATTCCAAACAATTCTAGAATAATCACAAGAAGTTAATGTATGCATAACATTCTCATGGGATGTATCACACATTGGGCATGCAGGATCAATTTCTACCCTCTTTATAATCAGGTTGTTTGTGGTTGGGAGGATATCACACAAGGCTCTCCACAAAAAGGTTTTCCATTTGGGTGGGACTTTCAACTTCCACACTGTAATCCACTTACCAAAGGCACCAGAATTAATTTCATAATTTCCAATAATTTGCCTGTATGCATTTTTAACAGAGTATTCACCCCTTGGATCCTTATACCAATACCACGAATCCTCATATTCTGGGCTTACAGGGATGCGAGATATACGAGCCACATCATCAGGTTCAAATAAATCACATAAAATATGTGGATCCCATGTTTTTGTTTGTTGATCAATCAAACCTACAACCCTTGCCTCGCGTAGTTCCTCAGGCATTACTGTTTGTATTAAGGGACTTGGATCATCAGGCAACCAGGGATGTCCCCAGATCAGAGTTTTTTCCCCATTTCCAATCCTCCTCCTTACTCCAGAGCAAACTATTCCATGGGCAGCCATTATACTTCGCCAACAATAACTGGGGCAATTCCCTATCTTAGCATCAATAAAGGAAGTCTTCGGATAGTAACGGGCTTTATATATTCTTGCTGCAAGAGAGGTTGGGTTAGTAAGAAATCTCCATGCCTGCTTCCCTAGCATAGCCAGGTTAAAAGAACGAAGATCTTTAAATCCCAAACCCCCATATTTCTTCGGAACACATAATTTGTCCCAGGCCTTCCAATGGATTCCTCTGTCCACCCCTTTCCCCCACCAGTACCTATTCATTGTCCTCTCAATAGATAAACAGACTGTATCAGGCAACAAGAAAATACTCATTGAGAAGGTAGGCATAGATTGGGCAACACTTTTCAAAAGTACCTCCTTTCCTGCTTGTGACAACAGCTTCTTATTCCAAGATCCAATCCTCTGTTTGATTTTATCCTCCACATAAGAGAAAACTGCCCTTTTATTTCTCCCAATAAAAGATGGTAGGCCTAAATATTTCCCAAAGTTCGGCGCCTGATCCACGCCTAGACAATTAGCCACGAGATCCCTATCCTCCCCTGAAGTATTTCTGATGAAGCAAATATTTGATTTATGATAATTAACCATCTGACCAGATAAATTCTCATACCTCAACAGACATTGCTTTATCACACTAGCCTCCTGTATATTTGCCTTAAAAAACAATAAGCTGTCATCCGCAAAAAAGAGATGTGACACTGGGGGTGCCCCTCTAGCCACTCTACAACCATGAATAGAACCCGCCAGCTCAGCTTTTTGCAATAATAGAGATAATCCTTCTGCACATATAATGAACAAATAAGGTGAGAGGGGGTCGCCTTGTCTGAGACCTCGCGTTGGGATTATTTTCCCTCCAGGGACGCCATTGACCACAACCTGATACGACACAGTCGTCACACATGTCATAATCAAATCAATCCACCCCTTATCAAAACCCATTACCTGTAACATCTTCTTCAGAAAGGGCCACTCCATTCGATCATATGCCTTTGCCATATCTAACTTTAGAGCTCCCCACCCCACATTACCACATTGTTTCCGATTTAGAAAGTAGCCAACTTCCGAAGCCACCAGGATATTATCTGTGATCAACCTTCCTGGAATGAAAGCACTCTGGGAATCTGATATTAGATTTTCCATTAGTGGTTTCATTCTATTGGTTATCATTTTAGCCATACTCCTATACAGTACATTACTGAGAGCAATTGGCCGCATGTCCCCTACTGTTTCCGGCACATTTTTCTTAGGGATCAAAATTATATTCGTATCATTCAAACCATTCGGCAGGATTCGCGAGTTGAGGGTGTTAACAATAAAACCAGATACATCCACTCCCACCACATCCCAAAAATGTTGATAGAAACCTGGGTTCATACCATCAGGTCCCGGGGCTTTATCCGGGAACATAGAAAACACTGCAGTTCTAACCTCATCAATATCAAAGGGGCGCAAAAGGGCCATGTTTTGTGCCGGGATGACACGGGGGGCAAAGTCATTAAACAAAGGATCACTGCATGTAACATTATTTGTTGCAAAAATTCCCTCAAAGTATCTCATAATAAGCAGGTTCATATTCTCTCCCTCCTCCCAATCCCCATCATCATTCATTAATTTAGCAATTAATCTTTTTCCGAGCAGAGGCATACCTGTGGTAAAATTTTGTGTTAACGTCAGCACCACGCAGCCAATGTTGTTTCGCCCTCTGTCTCCAGAAAGTATCCTCCTGAGCCTCCAGCTGGGTTAATTGAGTTTCAAGGCTTTGGAATTCAGTCAGGGCATCCGGATCACGCCTGTGTCTAATGGCCTCCTGTTTCGCACGTATCCGCTTAATGCGTTCTCCAAACTTATGGAAATGGTCCCCTCCCCACCGCATCAGACTGTGCCCACAATATTGCTGACAATTCAGCAAACCCTCAGTCCGCCGGTCATTCCAGGCTGTCTCAACCACCTCCCTGCACCCCTCATCCAGCAACCAGGCCATCTCAAACCTGAATCCCCTGTGTCCCCTTCTCCTCTGCCCGCATGGTTCAGCTATTTTGAGAAAAAGAGCCGAGTGATCTGATTTACGTGTGAGGATATTATGTACCTCTGCATGAGGATTAACATCCCCCCAAGATGCTGTTGCCAACACCTTGTCTAACCTCTCCTCTATCCAATTGTTCGTGCCTTTACTTTTCTCCCAGGTAAACTGATAACCTCTCATAGCCATCTGCGCCAAGCCACATCCATCAATCACCTCCCGAAACCGCGAAGGAGACTATTAGGGTGCGGGTTCCCCCCCCCCCCCCCCCCCCCCCCCCTTTTCTCGTACTGATATAAGAGATCATTGAAATCCCCTATTACAACCCAAGGAAGCGAGGATCTCCCACTTAGCGTCCCCAACAACTCCCACGATTCCCTTCTATCTTCCCGCTTTGGAAAACCGTAAAAACCTGTCATTCTCCAAACTCTATCACCAGCCAATCGAACCTCCACATCCACATGATTCTTAGAATAGCTCAGGAGGGTAGCAGTATTGTTTTTCCTCCAGAGCAACGCTAAACCTCCCCCATTCCTCTCATTATCCACATAGAACAAACCTTCAAACCCAATTTTAACTCGAAGTCGTTCCGCATGATCCTGTCCCACCATCGTTTCCATTAAAAATACAAAGTCTGGCTTCTTACTGGACACCATGTCCACAATTTCTCGAACCGTCCGTGGATTGCCTAAGCCACGACAGTTCCAACTAAGAGTACTCATTGGGTCGGGCGGGCCTGGGAACCAGTACCCGCCTGTTGCAAGTTTTTTGAACGATCTGCCATCACAACATCACTCCCCTCCACCTCATACTCCACACCCTCACGCTCCACCCCCTCCCGCCGGCGCTTAGCCACAGCCACCACACCGGTTTCACCCTCAACCTCCCTACCCGACCCAACCCCATGTTGTGCCGGCCCACTTTTCCCCTCACCCGAGCCACTCCCCTTCACTGCCGTCGGCGTCGGTAGCAACCAGCTGCCCCCGACCGGCCTCGGTCCCCGACTTCCTCCCGCCCGCAAGTCCGGGCCATACAAGTAATCTTCTACCGGCATCACTGAATCCCTTGCACCCCGACAAAACTTGTAAGAGTAGCCAAGCATTCCGCAGAAGTAACAATATGTGTGCAACCGCTCATACTTAAAGTACACCCAACAACTCGTTTTATCCCTCTTAATAAACTTCATTCGGCGTTTCAGTGGTTTATCAACCGATAGTGAAACCCTAATTCGATAAAAGGTTCTCCAGGGCATATTCTGAAAGCGATCATCTCTTTTGACAAAAACCCCCTAAATAATTCCCAATCTGTTCCTGTATCAACTCAGATGTGTACCCCATTGGTAACTCATGGATTTGAACCCACATGTCTACCGTATCCAGCTTAACATTAACCGGCATAACATTCTCGGGGACTTGCTTGCAGACAAACGTGCTATTATCATATGACCACGGCCCCTCATCAAGAACGCGTTAAACATCCGTTAAGTGATGAAAAACGAATAGAAACACGCCCGGTTGTATCTCAGATGCCTGGACCCCACTGACTGGCTGCCATACAGATGCCATGACCTGACTCATGAACTCAAGTTTTACTAGCTTCCTTGTCAAGAAACGGCCTACCACCCCCCACGAGGGCTCGTCCTCCCCTGCTGCCTCTCCGTTCTGCCGATCCGCCATCTGCGGTACAAAACCCCCCTCCTCCTCCGCCAACACCATGTCCGCCCACTGCGCTGTCAAACCTGCTACAGCAGCCTGCTCCGCCATCCTCCACGCCCCGAGACAGAAAACGCAGAAAAACGCTGGGAAGTTAACGTCTCGTCGCCGATCCCTGGTGCAGTATCAAAATTCGTCACCGGAGATCAAATCCGTAAGAAGAATCGTTGGAAAAGTCGAGGAAACCGACCGAAACCCTAGAGCATGGAAAACTTAGGTAGAGAGAGACTTCTTGTGCATGACTGACTATCTTTTAACCTAACATGAAGAGAATTGTAATAATGTAATATTATTCAAAGGTTGATCCAACGCTGAAGTACCCCGGCCCCGAGTCTCTCTTAAATGTCAATCGTTATGCCATAGAACTGTGTTTACCATCCATGGTGAACACGGTCTCAAACGATTAAATGCCCGTAAGTGGCACCGTTATCTTCTTTTTTCTTTTTTCTTTTTTTTTTCTTAATTAACAGCGCGGCTTTTTTTTTTCATTATCACATTTCGCGGTTTCACTTCCTCTTTGCGCAAGCTTCTTCAACACTCATAAATTATGAATGTGTAGGCATGGATTTATGAATGTGCAGTTATGAAATTATGAATTTTCTTTTATGAGGTTATGAATTTTTTGTTATGTAATTATGAATTTTCTGTTATGAGATTATGAATTTACAGAAAATTCAGAATTACATAATTGTAAATTCATACTCTCATAACAAAAAATTCATAATTTAATAAATGTTTTTCTTTTATGAGATTATGAGTTTTCTGTTATGAAATTATGAATTTTCTGTTATGAGATTATAAATTTTCTGTTATGAGATTATGAATTTACAGAAAATTCATAATTACATAACTGTAAATTCATAATCTCATAACAGAAAATTCATAATTTAATAAATGTAAATTCATAATCTGAACATAGAATGCAAAACGCCGTTAATAATACATTAACTATTTTTTTTTCCGTAAAAACGACGCCGTTTTGGAACGTGTTCACAAAGCATGGTGAACACGTTTCCACGGCATAATTTGGGCTTAAATGTACAAGGAATATACTGTATGTCTCTGTTATAATGTAATATATAAGTCGCGTTCGAACATGTGATCTCCCATTTAGGAGAGCCACAACTATGCCGCTTGACCACAAAGTCTTTGCCTCTTCCTTTTTTATTTAAACGAATGAGAAATTAAAGAGTCTCATCCCCACTTTCGTATCTGGGCAACTCGTGTCATCTATCATATCTCACCTCATTCTCTCAACATTTGTTTTTAGAGGTTGTTTTTGTCAAGAAGCCAGATGAAACCCTCTTTATGCATTGATATGATTCTGCATACCCAATTGAGATCATCTTCTTTCCCTTGAATTACCTATTTACGTATAAGGAAATTAAAAAAAAATTTAAAGGAAGGAAATTAAATTACTCATAAGAAAATTTAATAGTAAATAAACTTATACTTGTATGTGGCCAACTAATTAAGCAGATCTTATAGGGTATCCTTTGGAGCAATTGGAGTAGCTCATATCATGCCCATTGGCCATTGTCTTGGTTGGTAAGAAAGTTTCCAATTTGCTTATGTCCCTCCCACTCTCAAGAGTCAAGGATAAAATCACTAACTGGAGCTCTAGCTATGTCCTTTGGAATGTTCAACTCAAGCTCTATCCACGACATACAATTTTTATTCAACCTACCAATTATTTCAAAAATTTAAAGAACCTTTCTCCAATTGGCCTCCAATTCAATAAAAGTTATCTACTTATGAGTTATGATGCTCCTCCATTCCCAAGAAGCGTTACCTAAGAATGTGACAGTGAAGAAATTACTATATTGAACATACTTATTATGCATGACTTGAACCTGTTGGAGATTGAGTTATGTGGATGAACAGAGAACTTGCATTGAGAAGGAGAGGTGGTTACAATACATGAATGAGCTAACTGACTACCATGTCTATACAGAGAAGCTAATATACTGGCAATTAGGTGAAGGCGCCAAAGGCTGTTGTAACAGATGGTGCCAGCTAAGCCTTCTTGATTGGAGCTTTCACTTGGTATTCTCTAATACCCCGTTTTGTATCCCAAGCTTAGACACGTACTGCCGGAACAAAGGGATAGCCAGATGCTTGGTGAATCCATCTGCCACCTGGTTTGCAGATGAGACTGGCAGAAGTTTAATGAGACCTTGATTCAACTTTTCTCGGACGACATGGCAGTCAATGTCGATGTGTTTGGTGCGCTCATGGAAGACGTGATTTTCGGCAATGGCGATGGCGGATTTGCTATCACAAAACAATGTGGCTGGTTTGTCAAGTCTAATGCTTAAATCTTGTAGGATATAAGCCATCCACTGTATCTCACAGACCGTAGCCGCCAAAGCTCTATATTCGGCCTCAGACAAAGATCTTGAAACATTTAGCTGCTTCTTGGCTTTCCACAGACCAGTGCATCTCCCAGAAAGACACAGTATCCAGTAATGGATCGTCTTGTTTCGTTGCATGCTCCCCAATCTGAGTCGGAAAACACTTTTAATGGAGTTGTGTGTTAGCTGGGTAGAACAGGCCTTACCCTGGTGAGCTCTTAATGTACCTCAATACACGATGTGCAGCCAATAAGTGCTTTTCTATAGGGGAATCGACAAATTAGCTCAGTTGTTGAACTGAATAAGCAATATCCGGTCGAGTGGTTGTAAGATATAACATTCTGCCAACCAACCTTCTGTAGCAGCTGGGATCAGTCAAGGGAATTCCATCATCATGTGAGAGTTTTAATCCTTGAGCCATGGGAGTGTTTGCTGGCTTACATTCAAGGAACCCCGCATCTTCCAAAATATCTAAAGCATATTTACGCTGGCATAAATTCAATCCATCACTTGTTCTGCATGCTTCGATCCCCAGAAAATAGCCAAGAGGTCCTAGATCTTTGATTTTAAACTTGTTATCCAGAAATTGTTTAACAGAGTTGATGGTTGATATGTTGGCACTGGCAATGATTATATCATCAACATATACTAACAAAGCAACGAAACCATCATGAGCACATTTGGTAAACAATGAAGGTTCGGATTTGGACTGTTGAAAATCAATCTTGATCAGTGCAACAGTGAGCTTCTCATTCCATTGACAGCTAGCTTGTTTAAGACCATATAACGATCTTAGTAGCATGCATACTTAATTGGGCTTTTCACTTTGGAATACGGGGGGTAGGACCATGTATACTTCTTCATTAAGATCACCATGTAGGAACGCGTTGTTGACATCCATTTGATGTATATTCCAACCCTTAGAAATTGCCACTGCCATAAAGGTGTGAATGTTTGTCAATCTTGCTACCGGTGAGAAGGTCTCGATATAGCCCACACCAAATTGTTGGATGTAACCTTTCGCGACTAGTCTCGCCTTGTGCCTCTCTATAGTGCCATCCGCTTTAAGCTTAGTTTTGAAGCCTTGTGCCTCTCTATAGTGCCATTCGCTTTAAGCTTAGTTTTGAATATCCACTTATACCCAATTGGTGTCTTTCCTTGAGGAAAGTCTGTTAATTCCCATATGTTGTTATTTTGAAGGGCTGTAATTTCATCATTCATGGCCTTCTTCCAACAGTCATGTAGGACTGCTTGACCATATGTTCTTGGTTCCTTGACTGATGAGACTGCCATGGAGAGCATCTTATGTGAAGATGATAGATTAACATAGGGTATTACCTTGGATATTGAGTGAGGGGATGTCTTGGTAGCAACTGTTGCCTCACAGTAATAATCATGCAACTTTGTTGGAATATTTCGCGGCCTAGTTGATCTCCTTGGCTGAACTAAAGAATCAGGAGATGGTGTCAGTTCTGCTGCCTCACTGACTTCATCAATAGCTTCATGTGATAAGGGCTCACTAAAGTTATTTAAGTGACCATGCAGGGGATCACTGAGTATGCTACAAGGGTTGCTATCCATGCTTGTGTTGCTTCTTATGTTTTGAGACTGCTCCTTGCTGCTGCTGCCATGAGTGCCAATATCAAACTCATGATGATGCTCATTGGTATCATGGCAAATTGGAGGTCTGAACTCTGCACTATCATCAATGGATAGATTTGGCAAAGATGGCCTGAACATTTGCTGATTATCTTCTGCCATGTTTGTCTGATCAGCTAAGGGGAAGTGGTCTTCGTAGAAGACTACATCCCTAGATATAAATGTGGACTTATCCTGCATGTCATGCAACAAATATCCTTTGACATTTGCAGGTATGCCCACGAAAACGCATCGTCTGCTGCGTGAAGCCATTTTGTGTTTTGAATTGGATGAGGTGGTTGCATAACACAAACATCCGAAGACCTTTAAATTCCCAAGATTGGGCTTCTCTCCATGCAGTTTTTGATATGGACTGATCCAGTCAGTTACAGAGGAAGGGAGTCGATTGATGATGAATGTAGCATACATCACACATAGTCCCCAAAATTCAAGAGGAATGTTGGCTTGAAATATGAGAGCTCTTGCCACACTCATAACATGTTGGTGTTTGCGTTCAACCATCGCATTTTGTTGGTGGGTATGCACGCATGACTTTTGATGGATCATGCCATTTTCAGCAAAGAAGTCTACCATGTTGAACTCCATGCCATTATCACTGCGAAGTGTTTTAATAGCTAAGCCATGATGAGTTTGAATCTGCTTGTGAAATTTCTTCAATTTTTCTACCATGTTGAACTCCATGCCGTTTTACTCTCATCTTCATGGTTCATCATGATCTGATGATAACCTTTAAAAGCGTCCATAAAGCTCATTAGCTCGGCACCGGCCGTTTCATCTGCCATCTGATGGATGCTCGGCAACGGATAAGGGTCCAACGGGCACGGCTTATTCAAATCGGTGAAGTCGATACACATTCTCTAGGATGGAGGCTTAGGAACCAGCACTATATTGGTCACCCACTCGGGATAAGTGACCGGGCGAATGTGCCCGATCGCGGCCATCTTCTTCACCTCTTCGCGAACAAACTCTCAGCGATCGGAGGATAAATGCCTTGTCTTTTGTTTGATCGGTTTAGCGACGGGATCTACCGCCAACCGGTGACAAATGACGGTTCGGTCAATCCCGGGCATATCTTCGGGCCCCCAGGCAAATATGTCAGCAAATTCCCGGAGGATTGCTAACACTTCCAGTCGCAGCTCAGGGGTCAGGGCCCGACCGATCTTTATCTTTCTCTCAGGCCGGTCTTCCGACAAAGGAACCTCCTCTATCTCTTCAGATGGCTCTGATTGTTCTTTTCGGTCCTTGACGGCGTCCTTGACGATCGTATTCACTCGGGAAGAGCCTGCGTCACGCCGATTGACCGCTCGGGTGTAACATTTCCTCGCCTACTGAACATCACCGCGTAAAACTCCAACCCCGTCCGTGGTAGGAAATTTCATACACAAGTGAGGCATAGATATAATTCCCCCGACTTTCATGATGGTCGGGCGGCCTAAGATGACGTTGTGGACGCAATGAAGATTCACCACAACAAATTCCATTTGCGTTTTGACAGATTTGGGCGGAGTTCCCAGCTTGACCGGGAGGACGAATTTTCCTTCGGGGCGAATGGTATCCCCGGTAAATCCCGACAAGGGCACACCGACCGGAATCAGTTCCTGCCGATCAAGTTTCAATTTCTCGAAAACGTCCAAATAAAGGACATTTACGCTACTCCCGGTATCCACCATCACCCTTTGTACGTCGACTCCCATGATGTCGATCGTAACAACGAGTGCTTCCATTCCGGTGTCCCCGCTCTCAAGTTGATCTTCTAGAGAAAAAGTGTTCGGCTCCATTTTTTGCCTCTTACCGCTCCCCTGGGAGTCGACAATCGCAACCGAGCAAGGCTCTCGAGCTTGGGAAGCATCTTCCAAGCCGCCGAAAATAACATGAATAGTCAGTTTCGATGATGGTCGACTGCCAGACGGGGGATCGAGATCTCTCCGGTCCTGGTTCGATCGTTAGGGGCGGTTGGAGCGTCTATAATTTTTTCTCTCAGATGCTCTTTTATTCTCTTCCCGCTTTCCTACGCACTTGTCTAACTTCCCCATCTAGAGCAACTCCTCCAACAATTGTTTCAAATGTGTGCACTCCTACGTGTCATGCCCAACACATCGATGATAAGCACAATGTTTCGACTTATCCTTCCAATCCGGTCCCAGATGAGGTAGACGAATGAGGTTGCAGGACTGGGCATATTGCATGGCTTCCGCAGCCGATCGGTTTAACGCCGTGAAATCTCCCAGTCGAGCTCGGGGTCGGGGATAGTCTTCACCCAACCGGTTGTCCGACCGACCGGAAGGTTTCCGGGAAGATCTGACCTCTTGAGAGCGTTTGACGGCATTCGCTTCTCCAGCATTGGCATAATCCGTCACTCTACGGAGAGCTTCTTCATAGGTTGCAGGGGGTTGGAGTATAAAATCCTGGTACAAATAACCGGCTTTGAGGGAAATATGTAACATATGAATAGCCGTTAGGTCGTCCATGGGCTCGACCTCTCCCACCGCCGCTTTCCACTTGACTAAGAATCGGTCAAGCTCTCTCCTTCCAGCTGTTTAGCCTTCTCAAGATACATGTAAGGCTTCCGGATGACTTTGGAAGTTACGAACTTCCGAGTGAATTTTGCCGCCAAGCTAGCGAAATCAGAAATGGACCCCGGTTGCAACGTTCGGAACCACTCGGCTGCCCGACCAGAAAGCGTCGAGTAAAAGGCCCGGCACATCACAACGTCAGTTACGCCCATCATCAGCATATTTCCATAATAAGTGTTGATGTGAACCTCCAAGTCTGTCCGGCCGTCATATTCTTTGTTTCCAGGGATTCGCAAGTTGAGTGGGTAGGGTTGAGCCATGATCTCCGCCGTGAAGGGTATCCGCAATAATGAAGCGATATGATCGGAAGGAGGCCTCAAGGCATGCTCATTCTGCCACCGAGTAAACTCTGCGCGGAGGTCGTTCAACATTCCTCGAGTCTCGTCTTGCTCGACCGTACGGGCTGGTTCCCGAGCCCGGCGTCGTCGATGCGCTTGAGGTCCGCTGTGTCCTGACGACCCTGCCTGACTGGCCACTCGCATGGGAGAATCAACTGAGCGCCTATCTGGGTCTTGTGGTCCCAATCATTGCCGCATTGCTGGTTGAAATCGCTCGAACGCACTCGCTCGATTGGTTTCTAACTCGGCCTCTTCAGTCGCCTGGGCATGTGTTTCCTGCCGTGGTTTCTCCATGACCTCGGCCCCCTGCGATCCCAACCTCGAGCGAACCGAGCGCCTAGTACGGGGACCGGGCTTAAGCTCAGGCTCAATCGGCATTGTCGGTTGGTTCGGGAGAGCGGAAGCTGGAGCCGTGTACGCAGGCATGTAAGGCGGATAACCGGCCGGTAGATAATACATAGGAGTTCCGGGCCAACAACCATATTGAGGAGGTGGTACTGGATATGGGTAATTGCTGGGAACGGGTATTGTTGACCGGGCGTCAGATACATTGGTTGTGTGTAATTGATCGGGTTGGGTGCTGCCGATCGAGGAGGCGAAAGATTCAGATTCAGGTAAATTGTCTGACCCTGGTGTTGTGTGTAGTTGTGGTCGGAGGAGCTAGCTTCCTCGTCCTCCGCTGCTTGGTACATGAATGGATACATGGTGATGATCGGGATCAGGTACGCGTCTACAATAGCTTTTCATAACGGGTCCCCACAGACGGCGCCAAATGATAGTACTAATATCCACGTGGTGCGGTCAAAGTACTGAATGAGAACAAATAATAATAATAATAATAATAATAATAATAATAATAATAATAATAGAAAGGGATTTTATTGATAAATAGGAGACCTAATACAATCTAAATAGCTATACCGAGGGCCGACTGACTGCGGTCAGGCTGCTCTGTAAATAGCCTGCTGATCGTCCAAAAGTCCTCCTCACTGTAGCCGCCGTGGGTACTTATAGCCTTTGGCCGAAGACAAACTTCCGGGCCTACCGGCATGTAACCCCACGTAGCGTCCACGCGTCTTCACCCGGCGAGCCTTCTCTATCAACACATAGCATCGCCATGTGCCCTTCTCCAACATCTTTATCTCTTTGTAAGGTAAAGGCACGATAATCGGGAAATACCATCGATCAGGAAGTCCACCGGTCGGGTCCGACCGCCTCGCGTGAACGGCGCCCGACCTAAAGATCCTGGCATCCTGCCCAACTACAAGATGAACCAAACTTATGTTGGTCGGGATATATCCTACTAGAGCCAAAGGCTGTTGTAACAAATAGTGTCAGCTAAGCCTTCTTGATTGGAGCTTTCACTTGGTATTCTCTAATAGAACCCAAAATTTCTCAAGATAAGACATAATTTGCCATGCCAACTTGGCTAAGAGGGCTATGTCGCTGAAATCTCTCTCCTTTCTCAAATTGGCACCCAATTGTCTTGCAAAAAGCAAACCTCCATCCAATTCAGCAGGTAGACCATTTTCTTATCCTCCTTATCCTCGCATAAAAAAATCCCTACAAATCCTACCCCCCTAAAAAAAAAAAAAAAATGAGATGTAACATGAAATTTTTTTAATTTCTTAATTAAAAAAAGAGATTATTATATTAATCTAGGTAAAAACTACACATTGATCTTAGTTGTTGATCTTCTCAGAATCAAAAGCTGTAAAGTAAGGAAATCTTAAAAAAAAAAAAAAAAATTACGTCAGTGACATTTTGATAAATACTTCAAACTTTAAAGTGCACCAACTAACATTATAAAAAAAGTGCACTAATCAACACTACAGAGTGCAATGATCAATATACAATAGTGCACTCGATGTTATGTGAAGTGCATTCTTTAATTTAAAGTGCATTTCAAATTTTGAACTGCATCAACCAACATAGAAAGTGCATTTTTCAAATTTTGAACTGCATCAACCAACATAGAAAGTGCATTGATCAACATTACAAAGTACAATGATCAATACATAAAGTGTACTAAATGAGATGTGAATTGCATTTCTCTTGAATATACTTCTACATATCATTGAATCCACTTTGTAGTCAAATATAACACATAAAACTAGTTAATAGTATATGTTCACAATCCATCAATAGGGTGCATTACTTAAGCCAGGAATTGATACTATAAGAATTGTTGAACCTAGATTTTTGTATGTTTTTTCTCTCTTTCCAGTTTCCACCGTAACGGCAGAAGAGATGAGTTTCCTTCTTCAAATCTCCTGGGTTTTAGCCTATTCTAGATTTCGAAATATGAAAGAGTACTTCGATGAATTTGCCTTTTTCTCTCTTGTCCTGAGTTTTTCATCTTCTCTGAATCTTTTGCTATTCTTACTTCTTTTCTTTCGTTCCTATCACCACCTATATTCTTCTCTTTTTCCTGTCTCTTATTCGCATTTTATTTTTTGTTATATCTAATAACATGTATGTTGTTGGGAAAACAAGAACAAACACACAAGGAAAATTAGTAAAGGGCAAATAGCAAAAACTAAAAATGTTCCAAGTTTTCATAATTAGAGCAGCAATATTCAGAAAACCAACTACTAACTACTACGAAGTAGTATAAGTCTCAATTGAAAAGGATATGGGGGCATTGTGTGACAAAACCCAAGAAAACAATTAGTCCAAAAATAAAATACTAGCAATTAAAAGAAACCAACAACCCGGGAAGACACGGACGGAGAGTTTAGTCCACCTCCTCAATCTTGGGACCAGCACCGGCACCGCTACCTCCGGCGGCATGGGGAGCATCCTCATCCATGGCACCGCCCATATCACCGCCAGCACCCTGGTACATCTTTGCAATAATTGGGTTGCAAATGCTCTCTAGCTCCTTCATTTTGTCTTCAAATTCATCAGACTCGGCAAGTTGGTTGCCTTCCAACCATTGGATGGCCTGCTCAATGGCATCCTCGATTTTCTTCTTATCATCTGAGCTCAGCTTAGACCCAATCTTCTCATCCTTAACCGTGTTCCTCATGTTGTATGCATAGTTCTCCAAGGCATTCTTAGCCTCCACCTTCTTCTTGTGATCTTCATCCTCAGACTTGTATTTTTCTGCTTCTTGAACCATCTTCTCAATCTCCTCCTTTGAGAGCCTGCCCTTGTCATTGGTGATGGTGATCTTGTTCTTCTGCCCAGTAGTCTTATCCTCAGCAGACACGTTTAAGATACCATTGGCATCTATGTCAAAACACACTGTGATCTGGGGAACACCTCTGGGTGCAGGAGGGATGCCGGAGAGCTCAAATTTACCTAGCAAGTTGTTGTCCCTGGTCCTTGTTCTCTCTCCTTCGTAAACTTGAATCAAAACACCAGGCTGGTTGTCTGAGTAAGTAGAGAAGACCTGTTCTTTCTTGGTGGGAATGGTGGTATTTCGGGGGATCAAAACAGTCATAACACCACCGGCAGTTTCAAGACCAAGGGAGAGAGGAGTGACATCCAAAAGCAGCAAGTCTTGCACCTTCTCATTTCCCTCACCGCTCAAAATAGCTGCTTGCACAGCAGCACCATAAGCAACAGCCTCATCAGGGTTGATGCTCTTGCATAGCTCCTTACCATTGAAGAAGTCCTGCAAGAGTTGCTGAACTTTTGGAATCCTGGTTGATCCACCAACAAGAACAACATCATGAACACTGCTCTTGTCCATCTTAGCATCCCTCAGACACTTTTCAACTGGTTCCATACACTTCCTGAAGAGATCCATGTTGAGTTCCTCAAATCTGGCACGAGTAATGGTGGAGTAAAAGTCAATACCCTCAAAAAGGGAGTCAATTTCAATAGTTGTCTGCGCTGTTGATGAAAGAGTCCTCTTCGCCCTTTCACAAGCTGTCCTCAACCTCCTCAGAGACCTAGGGTTACCAGTGATATCTTTCTTGCTCTTCCTCTTGAATTCCTGAACAAAATGATTAACCATCCTGTTATCAAAATCTTCACCTCCAAGATGGGTGTCTCCAGCAGTAGCCTTCACTTCAAAGATACCTTCCTCAATGGTGAGGAGAGAGACATCAAAAGTACCACCACCAAGATCAAAGATCAACACATTCTTCTCACCAACACTGGTTGCCTTCTTATCCAAACCATAAGCAATGGCAGCTGCTGTGGGTTCATTGATGATACGCATAACATTCAGCCCCGCAATGACACCAGCATCCTTTGTGGCCTGACGCTGGGAGTCATTGAAATAGGCTGGAACAGTAACCACAGCATTCTTCACTGTAGAACCGAGATAAGCCTCAGCAATTTCTTTCATCTTGATCAGCACCATGGAAGAGATCTCCTCAGCAGCAAACTGCTTCTCCTCACCCTTGTAGGTGACTACAATCATGGGCTTGTCTCCAGGACCAGGAACGACCTTAAATGGCCACAACTTGATATCACTCTGTACAGATGCATCATTGAACCTCCTACCAATCAATCTTTTAGCATCTGAGACAACACAAAGTTTACCATTTAATTGACATACAAAATTGCAGTATCAATCAATAAGATCAATAAACAAATGCAACCTCAACTGAGCAAAGAACCCTCACGAGTTAAATGCAAGAAAATGCAACCTCAACTGAGCAAAGAACCCTCACGAGTTAAATGCAAGATTTATACCATGTCATAGGCAAATTTTGTTAGGGCACTATACTTGAGATAATTCTAACAGGCATAACACACCCATCATTTCTATGTGTTCTGTCTAGTTAAGGATTTTACACAGAACTAAGAGGCTTTAAGATTTAGGCAGCATTAATAACAAAACAATCATAACACACTTAGAAAAGTTGACACTTCTTTAACATTTTACAATGTGTTGTTTATGGTGATTAACACACGCCTGTGAATTTCCTCACATCAAACTCAGTCGGTAATTTTAACCTTACAGTCCTTTCTATTGCAAATTTTCTCACACCAAACTCAGGCGGTAATTTTACTTTTGAAATAACCATAAGAACTTTATTTTAAAAAAAAAAAAAAAAAAAAAAAGGTACAATCACTACATCAAGGGATCTGCTAAAAAATCAGCATACTACATGAATAGAAATCAGAATAAAGACCTAAAATGCACTACATGGATGACAATATGCAGTAAACTGTTTGATTTGCTATAGCAGCATAGCTTAATGCAAAACTGAGCAATTAATCCTAAGTCCCAGTTAATTAACATTAAAAATCTACGGTACAAAACTTGAGAGAACACACAACAAAATTCACAGTCGCAGTCAGACGGATCTTAAAATATTTCGCTGAAAACATTAACAGATCCATAATAACGTTCAAAACGAGAAAAAAAAAAAAAAAGAAACAAGCATACGGATCTTACCAAAAACAGTGTTAATAGGGTTCATGGCCACCTGATTCTTAGCGGCATCGCCGATGAGACGCTCACTGTCAGTGAAACCGACGTAGGACGGCGTCGTCCTGTTACCTTGGTCATTGGCTATGATTTCAACACGATCGTGCTGCCACACACCGACGCAGGAGTACGTGGTACCGAGATCGATTCCGATCGCTGGCCCTTCACCTTTTCCGGCCATTGCTCTCTTCGAATGAGGTGTCGGCGGAATATGTGAGGGAAGAAGAGAGCTCTGAAGAACTATTGTTTGAGAGAGAGGAAGAGGCGACGCCAAGTTAGAAAATATATAGATGCAGCTTTGACTGGAATTGGTTTGAGTTTGGAGTTCCAGAATGTTCTGTAACCCTAATAGGTGTGTAGTACTGAACCGTTGATCTAGGGGGGGATGGATTTACGGTTTGGATTTTGTTAATAAAAAGACAAAAAGTTCTCAGCCAACCCGCCGTCCGCGGTCTAATATCGGAGCCAGATTTTTCTTACTCGGGCGCCAATTGCACCACTTGACTAGATTACCGGCCGTGTCTTGCTAGGGCTTTAATTTTTTTTGTTTTTTTTTTTTTTATATAATGATTGGTTTTTGTTTAAAAAATATTTCTACATTAACATCGTGTTTGGTTCATAAAATACAAAAAATTAAATTCGCAACCCTAATGGTCCTTCGATCCGACCTGACAAAGCATCACTTTGATAAAGACTTGATCTCAAGTTATTGTTTCGAAACTTCACCTATGTTATTAACTGAGCTGCCCAAGCCGTTGGTAAGACTCGATCTCAGGTCATTGTTCTTAAATTTCACCCATGTTAGTAACTGAGCTGCCCATGCGGGTAGGAATGAGTTATTTTCGTTGCATGGGAATAGTCATTCCTAAAGAATCTTTGTATTAACTATTCTCGTACTCTTGGGAATAACGTTTACATTACAATATCAAAAAATACCTTTTTACATTATATATTCCTTGATTTAATTTGTACATGGCGGATTTGGCATATTATGCTGTGAAAATGTGTCCATCTTACAAGGTGGACACGGTTCTAAAATTGTTCATAATTGTGAATATAGAGTTCAAAAATTATGAACATAGAGTTTTATAATTATAAACATAGAGTTTTGTAATTGTAAATATAGAGTTCAATAATTGTGAATATGAAGTTCAAAAATTATGAACATAGAGTTCAGTAATTATGAACATAAAGTTCTGTAATTATGAATATAGAGTTCAATAATTGTGAATACGAAGTTTAAAAATTACAAACATAAAGTTTTATAATTATGAACAAAGACTTCAGTAATTATGAACATAAAATCATGTCCACCTTGACACCTTGTAAGGTGGATACGGTTCCACAACATAACAATTGGGCGGATTTGGCGTTGGCCCATGGATTATATTCATTGGTTTGTTGGGCTTGAGAAGGGTGGGCCTTAACAAAATTGAGTTCTTGTAGGCTGCTACCTCATTTGGTCTTTGTTTGCTCTAGCCTATGAATTTTAAATTTGTAATGCTTGGTGGCAAATTATTGTGTCAACATCACATAGTCTGGACCATTTCAAAAAATATATTTTTAATATATTAAATTATTTTTGTACTGAATGTACATTATACAATATAATGTACATTCAGTACAAAAATAATGTACATCTCCCGAATATAATGTACATTATTTTTATACTAAATATACATTATTTTACAGTATACAAAATATAGTCCATGCAATTTGTATGGACCATGGTCCATACAATAATGATTGATGTTTGGTACATTCGGCCTTGGGCCAATTTTAAATACTTGCATGTGTCTTTTTGCATATCAAGGGCAATCGTTATGCTGTGCATCCGTATGCACCATGCATGGTGCATACGGATGCCAAAACGACGTCATTTTATTAAAAAACGCGCGTCTCTCCTTTAAAAAAAATTCAGGTTCGATTCCCAGCAACAACATTATATTGTTCAATCATTCTGGAATTTTAGTTCATAGATTATGGAATTATAGTTCATTAATTATGAAATTATAGTTCATTGATTATGGAATTGTAGTTCATCGATTCTGAAATTTTAGTTTATAGATTATGGAATTTTAGTTCATTCATTCTGGAATTTTTAGTCCATAGATTATATTATGGAATTATAGTTCATCAATTATGGAATTTTAATTCATATGTTGTTGCTGGGAATCGAACCTGATTTTTTTTTAAAGGGGAGACGCGCGTTTTATTAAAACGACGTCGTTTTTGCATCCGTATGCACCATGCATGGTGCATATGGATGCACATCATAATTTGCCTATCAGGGGTATGCCCTTGTGTTTTTGTACAAATGTTAGTTTGGCTTCAAAGCATCTCCAACTTAATTCACACTAAAATATCAAATGTCACATCAAAATGAATATTCTCATACAAAATTCATCTTCAACCCATTTACACCAAAACACTAAATTTCTACACTAAAATAATCGGATTTCTCAATTATTAGTTCGAATATAATTAATTTAATATAATTTAGTTCGAACTTAATTAGTTTAGTATAAAATATAACTTATGTTGTAAATAATAATTTTTATTAATATATATTCTAGTTATTAATATATTTTTATTATGTTTGATGTTTTTGAAATTTTAATTAATATATATTCAATATTAGTCTTGTTTCGATCGTCTCAACGAGATTTTTAAAATGTTATAATTTATATTTAATAATACAGACTTTAAATATAAATATTTAACAAATTAAAAAATTACATATAAAATAATAAATGATACATTTGAAATTAAAAAAAATAAATAATAATAAGAAGCAAGGACAAAAGGGTAATTTTTCTCCCCATTCTCCATTTGGCGTGGATAAACAGTGACACGCCAAATATGGCGTGGCACTGTTCATTAACGCCAAAAAAAATTGGCGTTATGCAGGGATGCCGTCTCCCATTGGAGCACTTAATTTTGCAGGTTTAATGTTTTGACATTGAATTATAACATTTTGCATATCGCTTGGAGATGCTCTTAATAAATTTACATTTACCCCGAAAAAAAAAAAAGAAACAATAATAACGTCCGAGACAACCCCAATTAAGTTAGTTAGGTTGTTGGTTTGAAAACCACAAGTTTTCAAATTCGACTCTTATGAAACGGCTTATCAGCCTTCTTAATGTTGATCAACTATGGACAATCTAAATTAATTTTCTTCTTTGTAATATTTTATCAGCTAGAAGTTTACCTAACATACTTTAGATGAGATTTCCCTTGTCATTTAAAAAAAAAAAAAAAAAAAAAAAAAACACGAATAGTGTTCAAGAAAATTCAACAAACATTTAATGGCATTATTCAATTGGAGTTCGAAAGTTAATGCTGAAGACCCAAGCATAGTGTCCACTCGCAAATTACGCCGACGTCGTTTTCAGGGAAAATGCGACATTTCAGTTAAAAAAAATTGATTTTGTCTCGTCGTTAACAGCGTTATTCGTTTGTGGAATTATGAATGTACAGTTATGGAATTATGAATGTACAATTATGAAATTATGAACACAAAATTCTGACATTATGAACTTACAATTATGAACATAGAGCTCTAAAATTGTGAACATAGAGTTTTGAAAATTATAATGTACAGTTATGGAATTATGAATGTACAGTTAGGGAATTATATATGAATGTACAGTCATAGAATTATGAATGTATGATTATAGAATTATGAATGTACAATTTTGGAATTATGAACACAGAGCTCTGACATTATGAACTTACAATATGAACATATAGTGATAAAATTATGAACATAGAGCTCTAAAATTGTGAACATAGAACTTCGAAAATTATGAATTTACAGTTATTGAATTATGAATGTACAATTACGGAATTATGAATGTACAGTTATGGAAGTATGAATGTACAGTTATGGAATTATGAACACAGAGCTCTGACATTATGAACTTACAATTACGAACATATAGTAACAAAAATATGATTATATACTCCTATAACGAAGCGGTCTGAAATTTTTTTAAAAAAAAATTGGAAGATAACGGTGCTACCAACAGCATCGTTAACGTGTCCACAATGCATACTGGACACGGGTCACTAGCATAAGATTAGTGTCCACTCAATTGGGCCAAACATTTTTTTTAATTCTGTTCAAATAGCCCAGGAAAGTAGTGATTTAAGCCCAATTAAGGCTGATTTGGGAAAGGAAGCCAATTTATATCATCCCCTGATACAAAACGACATTGTACATAATTTTCTTTAAAAAAAAATTTCATGTTCAAAAATGTACATAATTTTATACTAGAATACACATAATTGTATACATAAATGTACATAATTGTATAACAAAATATACATATTTTTTTTTTAAAAAAGATAATACACATAATCTAACATATAATACATAATAATACACATAAACTTTTAACATAATACACATAAACTTTTAACATAATACACATAAACTATTAACATAATACACATAAATTTCATGTTTCGGATGTACATAATTGTATTAAAAAAATGTACATAATTGTATAAAAAATGAACATAATTGTATAAACGAATACACATAATCACGTCAACTCCCTACATAACTTACCTAAATGACGTCGTTTTTGGAGACGCGGGACGCACAGTGCTATGTGCGCCGTGGTGCAGGGTATAACGATTGGAAAAGGAAGGGCCGAAGGGCAAATTATACTGCGCGGTCCACAATGTATTGTGGTTCAGACATCAAAACGGTGTCGTTTCTCTTAATGAAAATAAACAGCACTTGTTTCACCCCGTTCCGCAAAAAGTAACTTTGATTGTATAACATATTCAGTTTCATTTTGTATACATTGTACTTTCATTTCAACACAACTACAGTTTCATTTCGATATAACTACAGTTTCATTCGATATTATACACTCAAATATGTGAAACTGTTATTTAGTTTCATTTTATATACACTATAGTTTCATTACAACACAACTACATTATCATTTCAATATAACTACGGTTTCATTGCACAATATATACTCAAATATGTGAAATGTTATTCAGTTTCATTTTATATACAATGCAGTTTCATTTCAATACAATTACAGTATCATTTTGATATAACTACAGTTTTACTGGACAATATACACTCAAATATATGAAATTTTTAGCCAAAAATAAATTTGTTTTAAATCGTCTTCAAGGATTGGGGGTTGGGTTAGCCAAAGAAAACTCTAGGCACAAGCATGAAGCATTTAATGGAAGCTAAGCAAATAGATAATTGTATGATAGTAGGATAAGCATAGAAATGGAAACAACGGAATAAAAAGGGAAAATTAACGATTTGGTCCCTCAATTGTTAGCGAAATATCAATGTAGTCCCTTAATCGCGAAATCATCGATTTAGTCCCTGGAAATAACTGTTTTTAGTTTATTTGGCCCCTCCGACCGTTCCCCGTTGAAAATCCGGCGAAGGCTCCGATTAGGCATGGGTAATTTAGTCTTTTCACACCATCTTCTTCATCCTCCTTGACTAAGCTTCACCGGAAAACGTTCCTCGGCCGGAAAATGGAGCCAAGTCCATTTATCTTTCTCAATCTGAAATACGACATTGATCATTACGATTCACTGTTCTTCAAAGATGAAGATCAAAAGTTTCTGCAGAAAATTCCATGGCTGAGTATGAAATCCGACCAGTATTTCATCCCATATCTTTTCCTGATGCAATCCTTCAAGAAAGATGCCGGGGACATGTTTCCCGACATAGAATTCGTGTTCCATTTCCTGGTATGGTACCTATTTCATCCCACAAATCCGGTCTGGAAACTGATTACCAGATACCATCAAGCATACCTGGCCGGAGCCGATGAGAAGATAGGAATTCAGGTGAGAGTGTTTGACCAGGAACCCGGTCCGTTCAAACATGTTTTGGATCAAATCATAAGTTGTACAATGTCGGAGAACATACTCCCATTAATCAACACAGACGATAATGATCCCAAATCCAACATTATAGGCAAAAAGAACAAGACAAAAGCTGTGCTGATAACATCTCTGAGTTCTTGGTCTTCTTCATCCTCCTTGACTAAGCTTCACCGCCTCTCTCCCTCAGCCGCTTCGTGTTTTCACGCGCCACCCAGAAGAAACGAACTCCGCTTTCACAGACGCCGGCGACGATCTCTTCCAACTGCCCAGCCGAAAGTGAGAGAAAGCTTCCCTGAGAAATATACAACACAGAATTCGCGGGTTGAGCATCAAGCCAGGTGAGGTAATCTGGGCAGCTAATTTCATCGCCATCGCCTTGGATAGGGAAGTAATTAGGTATTGCAGTGCCGATGGAATAGATAGGGATTTTGAGTTTAGGTCTGAGAGCTTCAATAATGGCGGCAGATTCCAGCTCCGCAACGGAAGTGAACACAAGGTATTGCCCGCCGAGCGTGATAGATGGACTTGGCTCCATTTTCCGGCCGACGAACGTTTTCCGGTGAAACTTAGTCAAGGAGGATGAAGAAGATGGTGTGAAAAGACTAAATTACCCATGCCTAATCGGAGCCTTCGCCGGATTTTCAACGGGGAACGGTCGGAGGGGCCAAATCAACTAAAAACAGTTATTTCCAGGGACTAAATCGATGATTTCGTGATTAAGGGACTACATTGATATTTCGCTAACAATTGAGGGACCAAATCGTTGATTTTCCCGAATAAAAATGATAAATTAAAAGGTAGGGACTGGAATGGGTATTTATTGATTTGATGCCATCAAACAGAGAATTGAGGGTTATGAAATTGCACTTTCGAGTTCAAGACTACCAACACCAATTTGGTAAACACGCCAATCTCGTGATCTTATGTTAGGTCGAATTGGAACACGGGGGTTGTCCTACTCACGTGACATTACCAATCCCCCTCAATAAAGCATGAATAGTCTTGACCTTTAACGTTTCCTACTTTCGTAACTCGTAAGTGAACCTGAAGGTCATGAGATGTGATATAAGGGAAGTTGACGGTTGAGAGACGAGTATATGAGTGTGATAACCTATGAACTCCTTGTTCATTCGGTTGCCAAAATCCCATACTAAACAAGTATTGACAAGATTGTGCACATACCCGTCAACACAAACATACAGAACATCTCACTAGAACATGAACCCTAGGTTGAGTTTCACTTTTATGAAATATGCATCAAATAGGCATTAATCACAATAAACACCACTATCCAACCCCTATACTACACTACTCACTCATAATAAATGAATAATGAAACACAAAAAGATTTATAGATAACATCACCCCAACAATATATTAAAGAAATAAAGCTATAAATATCTTTCAAACAAGTTGAGATTCATAAGATAAAGTCAATAAAAACAAGAACAAGATAATTTAAACTAAGAAATACAAAATATTGAAAGATAACAACGAAATGACAAAGAAAGAAAGAAATAACCAAAATTGGAATTTCCTCTACTGCTACAGTTCTCCTTTGAAGGCTCTCTCTATATGCAAAAGAGAAAAAAAATCTATTTGTAGTGGATTTTCAGGGTTTACGCACATGCACGGGCACAATATGCCCACACGGAAGGCAGGCAACGCTGGTGCTTAATGCACGGGCGTGCCATCGCCCAACATAACATCCCTTCTTGCTACGAACTCTGATTTCGCTCCTTTTGCGCATCTTTTTTCAGGTTTGCTTCTGCGTTTTCCTTTTTCATGCGCTTTTGCTAAAAGTTGATCAATTTTTTGCTTCCTTTTTCCATTTTCCTTCCTCAAAAGTGCAGTTGGGTGATTCTGAGAACAAAACACAACTTTTAGTTCTAAAACCCAAATAAACTCCTTAAAATGAGCATAAAAATGGGTTAAGAATGGAGTGAAATATGATATAAAATAAGAGTCATCAACTCTCCCACACTTAAATTGCTGCTTGTCATCAAGCAATTATGCTAAGGACATCGACAAAAATGGAATCAACAAATGATCAGTTAAAAATTTCATTGAGGCAACAATTTGTATATACAAAGTGTTCAAGCAAAGAATCTAAAGAATTTGAAGATACTTTAAATATATCCACATGTTAAGTATAGAATTTTGTTTTTTAGTTAAGAACTCTACGGGGATGACACACTCTCGAAAAGATAAATTAAAGCTCGCACACTCCAATTTTTTACAATTTGGGTTCTCACCACACAATCATAAATATGAGATAAAGGTCAAAAGGGCTTGAAAGAAAAATGCATGACAAATATAGTCAAAATAGGTTCCAAAACCTAAGAAAACTCAAGCATACCGCAAGTCCTTATCAACCATACATACCACGATTCCAAAGTCCTTATTAATGAAACAACGATGGAGAAAGATTAGCTTGGTCTCACATAAAATAACACTACTCCAAATGTAGGAAACTTGACTACAATAGTAAGAGATATCCTAATTGTTCAAAGTTGAGAGAAAAACTAGTAAAATTTTTGTTTTAATTATCTTTATTATATTCATGTGTTGACCTTAATATGTTTATGTGTTTAGATTATTCTATTTATAGATGAATTCAAGGAAAAGAGTGAAATCCAAGAAGCATCAATAAACTAATGAAAACTCTAGTACAAAGATGGAACCCAATGCAAACTTCTAAGAATGTCGAACCCCACATTGAGAATATTGATATTCTCCCTTTGAGAACATTGGTGACACAAGTGCTTACATTCCACATCCACCTAAAGGGAGTAACCTTGGAAGCTAACAACTTGATGTTTAACCAAAGTAGATTAAGACTTTGACCTGAAATTGAGTTCTTTTATTAGTTTTGATGATTTTTTATACCCAATAAAAGTCTCAGTTGAAAATCCTAGTGAAAGTCCCAATTGGAAGCCCTAGTTGCAACCCCAATTGAAGTCTCAATAGAAGCTCCATTAATTAGTGACACAATACTCATGGGACACAAGTACAAAATTTATATATCTGCATATGTTTTATTTCGACTTTATGTATTTTGGATATTTAAATAATATTCATTATTCCATTCCCAAATCCAACCAAACACTACAATATAATTCTTTATGATGACTCTATGTTTATTCGATTTGTGAATCAAACATAGAATAGTATTTTTTATTTTATTCATTTCTATTCCATTCCTTTTGGAGTCTTATTCTTATTCCCTTTGTTTTCATGGCGGGTACACTTATTATAAGTTACACAGGTGTATCCACCTATCCAACTAAAGTACAAAATATTTAGTGGAGCCTAACTACAGTAACGGACTTGCTGTCACATAACTTGAAAGGTTGTCCTTTTGAGTCGTCTCAAAAACAGCACATTCTAAGACAAAGCAAAGTAAGATTGAGTACGATAAACTTTACAATGAATTATTATTGCTTTTAGGCATAATTTTCCTAGTTCACACGTCCACATTTGAACGGGGTTCAAGATATCAGGGCAGGCTATCTAAATGCATATATTCTATATTCTTTTTAACCTGTAAATATTAGTGTGTTCCAACGTCCAATGGCTATAGAGTATAATATTTCAACATACAAATGATGATTTTTTTTTTTTAAATGTATTTGTTCCACAATACATGCACAAGGATATATTCAAATAGCTTTCTTAAAAGATGCCTGTATAAGACTGGGGTCTCCCAGCCCCCCTCATTACATGTAAAAAAAAAAAAGTTTCTAAAAAACAATAAAAATTTATGTTTTGTTTACTAACAAAAAAAGCTAGCTCATAAGGGGGAGGGGGGGTTTGACCTCAATTTAAATACCACTTCACAATCTCTTGTGGAGCCAATGTGAAATCGTATCATTGCCCACCCCTTGAAAAGCTGAAGTCCGCGGCGGCTGGCGGCTTACGGCTTACACTTCGGACCTTTCTCAGCACCCGCTGGTAGCCCTTTTCCCCATTAGATGGGGGAGAACAGCCCCATCTAAGAGCTTCTAATTGAGATATGAATAGACCCTAGCTTGTTGCTGAAAAACGTAATAGGCTAGCGCGGCTCGCTTCTCTCTTCAAGCTCCGCCCCCCTTGCTCAACCTCAACATCTATAAAAAAGCCCTTGGATTCATGGAGTGAAGTGAAAGCAGCTGCTCACAAAGTTCACACCAACCCAATCTCGACAAAAAATGAAGTAAAAGCTACCTTGAATCAATGAATGAATGAATGAAAAAAAACCCGTCTCCATGTCAGTTGGGATTGAGTCATTGTGCGAAGGGTCTCCATTTTCAAAATGAAGAGTATACAAGGTTGGTAACGGTATAAAGTGCTTCACTTCGGACCTTATCAAGCACCAGCTAGGCCGGCACCGTATGAGTGGACGGCTTCACTCTGGGTAGGCTTTCACTCCAGAAACTTCTCGGATCCCTTTGAACCTTATCAAGCACCACTCTGACCTCTTAATAAGAGCACCAAATTAAATGATACAGTACTCAAGTTAAAGACCCTAACTCCACCACAAAAACTAGCTCATGAGTGGAGGTTTGGCCCAACTTAAAGTAACCAAATTGGTGTATGCAAGGCCGAAAGAGGGGTTGCCGATGGTGGAAGATGCACTTGAAAGTTTAATGGAAAAATCAAAGAAGAAAATAATCAATGAGTTCATAGCAAATATATCCCTAGAAATTTTTTGTGACGAAGAAAAATCTCATTCTAAAATTGGTATATATTTTTCATAAACGCTTACATATTATTACTCAACTCGTTTATATTTAAGTGAGCTCTATTATTGATGGATAATATTTTTAGTTGTTGTTGCCTAGTTGAAGTAGTATATCTTGTGTTGTTTGCTAAATTTTAGATGAATTTTGGGTATGCGTTGGATATTTAATTTGATAAAATTTGGCATGAAAAGTTATGAACATAGGAATCATTATTATTGGACTATAAATATATTAGTTGAACATGTTTGAATGCATGCACCTGAATATGGCCTTATTTAATTTATTCGTATTCATGCATATCCATGGGTGTATATTTGTTGAAATATACCATTATAGCTAATAAAGGCAGATTTTCCTATTGGACCTAGAGATCAAGTGAATATCTCTTTAAAATGCAAGATAAGCTTATAAATATCTGTTACTTCAATTTCGACGTACAACTATAATATGTTGCTTTTTTTTTTTTTTAATGCTACCAACTCTATTACAATGTAGTATTTGTTCATACTTTCTCAACCAACTGAAACACAAAAGAGTCAATAACGCCTCAACTTAGACAATAAAGTCAAATTTAATATGTTTTTTTTTTTAAATGCTACTGACTCTATTACATTGATGTTGCTTCTTCTTATTGGACAAAATTGAGCATAAACATTTTCTTAACTCAGGTAATCAATATCTTAATTAGGCTCATGAAAGAGAGCTTGTTGATTTGCTCTTGTTGATAATAATTATTTGCTATATATAGGTCATAATTATTCTTTTGTTTTGTATAGGAATTGAAAAATAAAACCGCATCGCCCACCATTCAAATAATGAATGCCACACGTACAATTCTTGCCAACAGTCTCTTGATAGAATTCATCACACATAATGTTTTTAGTGCATATATAGTTTGCAAATTGTTACAGAAAAGGGTTTATTTAGTACACACCTCAAGTAGTGACGGTTAGATTTCCCCGGTCATCCAAAAATTAATGAATGCCAAAAAAATAAATAAAAATCTACCAAAGTGAGCATTACAAAACAAAATACACGTTACATCCTTATAACAACATACATATTTATGTCAAATAGACCACGCATGCCACAAATGTGTAGGAAAAGATGAGAGACAAAAATAAAGTAATCTATGATATCAACGTCTATTCATTAGATTGGAACTAAACAATCCAACATAATTCTCCTCACATATATCCCCTCCCCAAGAAAAAGACAATTTTTGAGCAACATTTAGGGTGCGTTTGGAAACCCGTAAAATGACTTTTGAAAAATGTTTTCTGAGTTTTCAGTGTTTGACAAGATGGGGAAAAATGAGGTCAATGGAAAAGGATGCATTAGTCGAAGGAAAATATGTATGTTTTGGGGGAAAATGACTTCCTTTTTATTTTATTTTATTTCTTTTATTTCTTTTATTTCTTTTTTATTTTTTATGAAGACCTAGTGGTTTATATCCTAAACCAACTAGGGGAGGAATACAATCCCATCTTCTCGGCTGTCCGCATCCGCGAAACATCCATCTCCTTGGGTGAATTAAGTGATGTTCTGACTGACCATGAACACCACTTAAAAGAAGCTGATGATGCGCGCCAAACCCTGCTTGCCACTGCTAACGTTACACAACGTACTTTCTCTTCATCTCGGAACAATTAATCATCCAATTCTGCTCGGAAGTTTCGTAATAACAATAACACCAATCGGCAAAGTTGGACACAAGGGGGGAATAATCGGCATGGGGTTATTTGCAAGTTCTGCAACTTTCCAGGTCATGAAACGAAGGTATGCCGTAAATTAGCAAAATTTTTAAAGGAGCATAATGTTATACCTATACAGGCCTCTACGCCTCTTCACCCGCCTACAGCCAATTCCACAGTTGGTCCGTCACAATCGTGGCTATTTGACAGCAGAACCTCCCACCATGCCACTCCGAGTATGACTCCTCTGCAAACTTTTTCTGAATACAGTGGCCCGGATGAGATTCGCTTGGGTGACGGTTGATCGTTATAAAGCGCGTCTTGTCGCGAAAGGTTTTTTTGCAAACTGCGGGTCGTGACTATTACGAAACTTACAGCCCAGTCATGAAACCGGTTACAATTTGTGTGGTCTTGAGTATTGCGCTAAGCAACCGCTGGAGTCTACGTCTGTTAGACATAAACAATGCGTTCCTACATGGAACGTTACATGAAGAGGTGTATATGGACCAGCCTCCCGGTTTTGTTGATCCACTGTTCCCGTCACACATTTGTAAATTAGACAAAGCGTTGTATGGGCTCAAGCAGGCACCGAGAGCGTGGTACTTGGAGCTGTCACAATTTTTATTGCGTTGTGGTTTTTCTAAGTCACGAGCGGACGCCTCTTTATTTGTTTATTTTGCTGATGGTGTTATTGTTTATTTCCTGGTCTATGTCGATGATATTTTATTCACAGGGAATAATGACGCCTGGTTTGCACGGTTTGTATAGACTTTGTCTACGCAATTCTCGCTTAAAGATCTCGGTGATTTGCATCATTTTTTGGGTGTTGAGGTAGTTCTAACACCGAATGGAATCTTCTTGACACAAAGTCAGTATGTTACTGACATTTTGATACAGTTTAAGATGGATGGTGCCAAAGACGTCGCTACGCCACTTGCTTCTTCAGATAAATTGGTGCCGGCCAAGTTGATAGTGACCGGCTTGATGTTACTCAGTTCCGACGTCTTCTAGGCTTGTTGCAGTATTTAGTCATCACGCATCCAGATGTTGCCTATGCAATCAATCGCCTATCTCAGTTCTTGCATACTCCTACCATTGCACATTGGCAGGCTACCAAATGGCTTCTTCGCTATCTCAAAGGAACTATCTGTCATGGTTTATTCCTTTGCGCTAGCCAGCCACTTTCTCTGCGTGTCTACACTGATTCTGATTGGGGGGATTGCACCTCGGGTGGTCGCTCAACTACTGCTTACTTGTTGTATCTGGGCTCAAATCTCATTTCCTGGAAGTCCATTCATCAACGCTCTATCTCTCGTTCATCCAAGGAGGCGGAGTATCGTGCCTTGGCGAATACTGCAGCAGAGGTTCTATGGGTCAAGAATATGTTACATGAACTGCGTTTGAGTCTGCCTCAACCACCGTTATTGTTCTGCGACAATCTCAGTGCACCTTATGTTTGTAAGAACCCAGTGTTTCACTCTCGCATGAAACACGTGGCCTTGGATTACTTCTTCGTCCGAGATTTGGTGTCAAATGGTTCATTGGTCGTGCGTTATATTCCATCTTCCGGGCAGCTAGCTGACTTACTTACGAAGCCACTTGGGCGTCGCTTGTTCCAACTCTTTCGGTCCAAGATTGGCGTCTCTGACGGATCCTCCATCTTGCGGGGCGTGTCAAGCCTATATGCAATAGTTGACATATTTTACTGTATTTCCTATTTGTATTCCTGTAGTTTAGGATTGTTAGTAACTCCCTGCTACTTCCTCTCATCTGTATCCTATTTATACTTGGCTCATTTCATTAATCAAACTCAAGCTTTTGTATTATCATAACACAGTTTTCCGTTGTGTAGCCAAACACCAGAAAGGGAAATGTTTTCTGGAAAATGACTCATTTTTCAGAAAACATTTTCTAGAAGTCATTTTCCTGCTTTCCTAATGGAGCCGTAGCTTGAAACTAAACTAGTTTATGTAATGAAAAAAAAATGTTATTTAAGCTCTGTAAAATATAATTATTCTTTTCTTTCATTAGCTCTTTAATATGGCAGATGACGTGATGACAATAAGTAAAAAAGAAAGAATAATTTTAAGGTGCCAATGTAGTACGGCTCCTGTAGCAATGGTGGCATAATGACTTGGCAGGGATAAAAGAAAGGATCGGAAGAAAAAGAGCAGATTGAGTACAACTAACGAACGAAGCATCCCAAGACCTAGGTTGGTTTTTGTAAGGAAAAACAACAGCAGAATAACATGATTGGCCACTCCATGTTTCATTCGTTACAAGAGGTTCGTGATTGTACGTATAGGTATCTGACCAAATCCAACGTTTGGATTGGCTTCAATTCGTGCTTATATCTGGACTTGCTTTCAATTCCTCCCTTGCCCGGCAGCCACTAGACTTTTAGTGGCCGGAAAATGTAAATCATGAAATTTATCTCAAAGTATTTATATATTAATGCTTGCAATAAGGCCAATTACATATATATTTTTCTCTTTGTAAGAAGTGAATTGTTGGGTGGAGACTAGTGAAGAAGCAAGTCCAGCAATTGGTGGCTAGGGAAATTGTTGGGCGGAGGCTGGTGAACGGCTAAGTCCAACACTTTATCTCCAAAAAATGTAGTGGCGGTATATATAAGAAAATAAAGTTGTGGTTTGTTTGTGAGATATACCTTTTGGCAGGAAAGCGCTTGATCCTAAAAAGTAGTATCAAAGCCAAGTTAGAGGGGGAATTGTCCGACAGGTATTGCATGTGAAGGGCCAAGTCCAGCATTCTGCCCCTCTATCATTGTAAGCTAAACTATCAACTTTTTGGATTGGTTAATCAATTGAATTGTGTCGGAGAATATCGATTGGTTCTGCATGCGGTACGTTGCATGTGTAAGGGCGGGCATATGTTTTCTGTTATATCTAAATATAGTATAATAATACTGAATAGAATCTA